GGCTGCTTGGTTCAATCAAGATCCTGCAGCATATGCACCAAAACGACCACTTCAGGATTTTGGGGCAACAGGTCAGAGATATCGTCAGAGATATCCCACTTTGCAACCGGAAAAGAGCCACTAGGCAGGAAGGGAGCTGTACTCTCTCGGCGGCTCCCTCGCAGCCGCCTCAGTCGAGCCAGGACTGTCTGTAAAATTGGGCATCCGAAAATACGATGGTTTATCAAATTTAGATTGAACAATTAGATGATAAAACTGTTGAAATATGTTGAAATATGTTGAAATCCTGCTTCGTCATTAGTTTTCCCATGAAAATTGCAATTTTTGGATATCCCACATTTTTGGACCCAGTTGATAGTTGTGTAGCTATTGATTCAGATCCAATCGGGCGGCTAACTTCATCATGGTGCCCAGTTGGGTCACTGAGCAGCAAGCTCCCTTGAAGTAGAGCACAAGCACAGCCACCCTGGGAGAGAAAACCGGCATCCTTCCCCCTGATGGGAGTTTCCTATAAAAATCATCTAAAAAAAAAACTGTATATCATTTAACCACAAAAAATTGGGGCCAGCCAGCGATTTACCAATCAAGAAAAGGAGAAAGTCCAACGTTTCTTCTCTTGAGAGATGGGACCGTTTTGCCCCGAACTTTGTGCCGGAATGAAGCAAATGAGCAGAGAAGCTTGGTCAGTGAGTACCCAGTGAGAAAAAGATGTCAGGATGTTCACAGGAAAAACCCTGCTGAAAGCTCCTCTCGGACATGAAAACAGGACGCCGGACCCCATGACGGCATCCAGTGCACCGAAGGAGTAGAGAAACCATCTGCAGTGGTTGAGAATGGTGGGGTCAACAAGTTTTCAAAACCAGGCGTTCTGAACTACTTTCCCATCAGCTTTCAGAATCGGTTGAAACTCAGGCAGAGACAAATTATGTTCGATTCGTTCGATCCATGGGTAGCATTGCCATCTCCCTGATATTTGGGTCGCCCAATAGCTGGGCTTTCTTGACTTCATCCCCAGATCCCGACGCCTGGGCACAACTCCAAAGAATGGCTCCTGGACACCACGAGATCCCGCTGTTGGACCCGCGGATGGATCACTTTGTTGGGGTCACTGGATCCACTGGACGCAGCGGTCCTCCTTCACTTCCATGCCTTTCAACGCCAGCGCATGCCTAACAGGAAGCGAGCAACCAACAAGACAACGAACAAATGCGCACCTGAAATCAGTATCTTTGGAACATCTAAGAAACAGTAACTGCACAGCTAAATGATGGCACAGCAACGTGTCCAGTCGTCCGAGGCACATCATGGGAATGAGCCCAAAGTTTGCCACGTACATCGAGACCTGGTTCAGCGCATCGCCCGCGAAATCGGCAAATGATTTTGAGGGTCCTGGATTCTTCTTACTGCGAAAGATGATGACTTTCCTGGAATTCTGCATACAGCATTGCTGCAGACGCAAAAGGATGCATCTCAGTTTCAAGTTCAATTTGAGGTGCTGGCGCAAACCACACAGAAATCCTTCAAGACAAAAATCAGATTCGACCTCGGCCCGAGGTGCCCTTTGGTTCCAAACGCGTATATGCCATCGGAATACTTCAGAGATCCTTTTTTCGCCGGGGTTCGAAGTTATTTGAGCTGCGGGCGCTAGCCACACTGTCATTAGTCCCACCTCGGTGTTAGAAACTCAGAATTGGACAGCAAACACCACAGAAATTGCCAGCACGTTCTCCCTTCCGCAGTAAGTTTCTGGCGCCACAACATGCCAAGAAGAACAGCTCTGGCAGTAAGGGACCCAACACAGGGATGGGTGACAGCAAAAGCCTCAGCTTTTCAGAGCTTGTCGTGATGGAAATGGCGTCGCGGGCCGTCGTGGCTCCCCTCATTTCACAAGTATGAAAACTTCGCCATTCTATCCATTCTTCAGACGCTTCCCCCTCAAAAACCACCAAAACACCATGCTTCTTGGTCAGGTGAGTCGGTGAGGTTCATTTGCTCAGGTTTTTTTTGAAGGTCACAAAGCATATCGCGCCCAAGAAATGACGTTCTGAGAGGCTGACAGAAGAGGGTAAAACCTCAAAGGGTGGGCCATCCATCAGTTCCGGACTGGTCAGATACGTTGCCGTCTCAAATCATGATGGCCATTGGGTTCTGTGCTGGGAATATCGCTGGGATTTTTGACAGAAACTCTTCAAGGTCCCGACAGGTGCACAGCGAAAAAGATGACGCCCAGGCTTGGATTGGGCACATCAATGAGATTTCGAACCTGATTTTTCAGATGTCACAGATGTCAGAGATTTGAATCACACGGCGATATTTCGATCCAGTGTTCCCAAGAAAATTCCCAATTCCTTCCGAAGCGAAGCCAGGTGGCATGGATGATCCAAACATTGACTGGAACAAAGCTGCGGTGCTGCATCATGCAGCGCCGTTCAACAAATGGGGTCCATCTCCACGCCCGCGCATTTTTGTTGGGTCCCTCATCACCTTACTCAATGCTTGGAGGATCCCCAGTTTTTGCTCTTGGAAGATCGGAACCTTGTCAACGATGCCATCTGACGCCTCAGTCGAGGTTACATTGGGTACAAGCCTGGGTATTTTCTTTAGCCCAATGTTGTTGGGATATTATCCGGGATATCATTTAAGATATCATTTAAGATATTTTGTGCCCCTATGGCAGCTATGGTGAAATCTATCCATTTTTTCGCATCTACCGAGGTCCTCACTGTCTCCTTGGCAATGCCAAAGTAGCGCAAGAATCGTCCTGCATGGCTAGGTCAGGGACGATCAGTTACTGGAGAAACTGAGTGATACGTATCTGACGTATCTCAGTTGTAACCACTTCGAAACGCATTTCCAAGTGGGACAGGTTGGAAGTTGTTGGGATGTTCAGCGAATAGGCATGGACCATAAAATCAAGCATGATCCGAGTATACCACTAGATCACAGTCAACGATGATTGTTGCATTGGCGGCACTACTCAATGCCGATGGTGCAAAGGTATTTTCTTGTGAGCCGCACATCGCAGGAATATTGTCCAGTCAATTCGCATCATCATGTCATATCAAATAGGTGGAAAATGAAGGATCCATCCAACCAAAATGACATGGGCTTGCCTGAAAGTGGGGGTACCCCCCAATGTAATGTGGTTAAAACAATTTCATAAACCATCTCCTAGTCATCACCATTTTTATAGGTGGTATGGTTACCATTCCCAATTCCCAGTCATGGGTGGTTTATGACATTGTTTTACCCATAGTACCCTCTGGTAATTTAACAGGGTAATTTGTTACATAGCTATTGAAAATGGCCATAGACATAGTTGTTTTTCCCATGAAAAATGGTGGATCTTTCCATATAAATCCCCATTTTCCCATGGTTTTCCCGTGGTTTTCCCATTAGTTTACCAGAGGCTATAGCGCAACTGCCATTTGGGGACCCCGTGACCCAGATCTCGCGATCGTCCTGGAGGAGACATCAAAACCTTGCTGCACTTGGCCCAGGGAGCAAAGTCGCAGAAGGGCCTGGGGCGAAGGGGATTCCTAGAGCAAACACAAAGGAAATGTGACTGCAGATTCGAAGCGAATCTCTTGGAAATGTTGGAAATCTTGTCAATTGAAGCAGTAAAAAATCAGGTTCTCCCGGTAAATTTGCTGTCTTTGAGTCTGGATATTCTTGGTGTCGCAATTTCTTGGCTGATCCAAGTTGCATCTCAATATGTGCTTAGAATCATGGAGCTTATGCCTCAACGGTGGGAATCGCTGGCCCAGTTTGCAGCTGCCCAGTCGCCCTGGGGCCGAAGCTTGTAAGCCTTCATCTCTGGATCTTGCGGTTTCGCATAGTTGAATCCCGGATAAACTTGTTCCAACCTGGGCTTTGAGTAAGGTTTGGCAGGGGAACCTCACAAGTGGGATCTAGAGGTTTGGGGAACCCATTCTTGAAGAATTTTGGAATCGAGATCTGGTTTTAAAGGTCAACACCTTCGATCCAATCACATCATGATGAACCGTCATTGCAAGTTGTTCCATGATCCCTTTGCTGGCCAAACCAAGTAATTAGTTCAATGCTTAGACAGCAACTCAAAAAAAGATCTTGCTGTTTTACTCTTCCCATATTATTCTTCAGGATCACTATAGTCTATAGTTACTATATGGGGATGGGTCAAAACCCTGGCACCTAGTGAACATCAAAATAGCTGGTAAATGGATGTTCATCCCCCTAAAAATGGTATTAATAGGTATTGATCCATACCCATATGTTACCATAGTACTTGTCAATCCCCCATGATCCACCTGTTCGCAAAAAAACGCACCAGTCCTCGGAGCTCGCACCGGATTTCGACCCACAAAGCGGCAAAGCACCAGAAGAGACCCAGCAAACCCAGAGTCACCTCCGGTGGCGCAACGGTGACGCAACGGTGACGAGATCAGTTGGAGAATTCCTCAGGACTGCGGCACCTGGCAGGTGCGCCAATCCGATGTGAAGGCATATGCCTCAGGCCGGAGCAAACTTTGTCAAAAATTCAGCACAGGTGAACCCGAAAAGGAGCAAAATTTGCTGTCAAATTATACTACAATGGGTCTTCCACGGGCATTTCAGCAACACTCACATCTTGATTGCCTGGAATTCACTCCTCAGTATTTCGAAGCGCTGCTTGGCTAGTCTTTTAGAATGTGAGAAACCAAATACCCATTCAAGGCAAACCCCAGGACACCAAATGGAAAATCCGTCCAATCAACGCACATCTTCGAAACTCCATGGCCCCATGCACGGGGTTCCATGATGGAAGGCACAAAAAGTTTGTTCTTGGCAGCAAAAATCCTTGGATGTTACCTGTTTGCCAAATCCTTGGGTTTTTACCATTCTATTAGGGTTACCAAACAGGAAATGACCAATGGACCAATGTTGGATGGTTTTTTTTAAGGTTCCCCATGACTTAGGACACCGGAAATCTGGGGGAGCGACGTAGATAACAATCTCCAGTAGCACCAACGGAAGCACCCAGATATAGAAGTTCTCGTCCTACATCGAAACCAGAGCTGAAAAAGACGTGTGATCTTCCGCCTTGGAAAAGGGGCATATCCGAACAGAAATTGAGTAATGCCGTAATGCTTCTCAGACAGACTTGCAAGACGAACCAAGGATCAATGATACCTCATGTTTAGCATGTTTACACCTTATCTTAAGGTATATTGATTGTGGAATACCTTATCATGTCAAAGGCATGTCGACAGCGCACAACAATTTATGCGATCCCCACGATCGTTTCCAAAAACAGGAGTCCAATCCAAAAGCCATTCTGCTCGAAGCGCAGGAAATCTTCAACGGCAATGCGACAATGCAGTATCTGGAAGAATTAGTGGTTTTATTTCCACTGTATGACAAATACAGTTGAGTTCCTGGCTACCCTTGCTGGCTGACAGTCTCTGACATGAGAGTCTTGGAGTTTGAAGGCCAAAGTCGTGACCAAAAAATGTCTCTCAACCTCTCTGCAAACAGACTGTTGATTCCAGAAATGTTGATTCCAGAAACATCCAGAAAGCTTCACATCAATGTCTTGGATCCAATTGGCTATGCACTGCTATGCACGGATCAATAGATCCACAAGGGGAGCTGCGAGGAATAGAATCCAATGGACGTCAGCAAAAACAAGGGGGCCCACCATAGAGAATGAACTCCGTTGAGCTGCGTTCATCTAAGATTCATCGCTGTCCGTTCCTTTGTCCAGCATCTTCCCAGACATCTAGCAGCTAGATCCATAAGATCATCGATCTGGTCGCTTGAGACCAATGGCCTACACGTCGCGAAGGAAACACCCCGCAATGATCTTCAGTGCGGTTGTCTGGTGTAATGTGACACTTAGCAGCCAATCCTCTACTTTGAGAGTGAAAAAGCTGCTATCTGGTGCAAATCAAGTCTATATACATTATACACAAGCTTCAAACTCTTCACTTCGTCACACTTTGGCCACTTCACAAGTTCCCCAGTCTGCTCCTTGACACTCATGTTCATCCTCTTCCACATAGCACCAAGGTCCCTGCTTGTGATGGTTCGGATTGCCACAAGTGGTTGGCACGTGAACATTGCCATGGGCGCCCTTAAACATCCAACCGTCCTGGTGCCGTCTGCAGCGGCAACCCTTGGTGGTGAAGCCCGTGTACGAGGCACATTGGGCCAGGGTCAAGCCGTCCAAGCTGAACTTCTCTTTGCCTTAGCCCAGGAAAATGCTGGTGAAGTGAATTAGAACCCCAAGCAGGGGATGAAAAGTAGCAAAAGTATCTTTAAGACCCTCAACCACTTTGTCAGTTGCAAATCATCATTCCAAATGTCATGGAAATCATCAACCAACAATTAAAAAGAAGAACTAAACTAAAACTCACCCAAGTGGCAATGTTCTTCCACCCGACACATGGGGAAATGATTGGTATAGCCCGGATTGCCACAGGTGGTTGCACTGGTCTCTCCAAAGAGGCTCCAGGAGCCCAGTTTGCAGCTGCAGCCTCCGACCGAGACAGGGCGACAAAGGTCGCATTCCCAGGACCATTTCTGCAGTCGCAGGCCGCCCCCGCAGTCGCAGCAGTAGACACCCGCGGAATATTTGGAACAGTCGTCGATGTGGCCTCGCTCCTAAAAGTCCAAGATGTCCAAGTCTGGCTGAGTCTGGCTGGAAACATGTTGAAATATGTTGAAATTGAAATTTGGGTGGCTGTTGCGAAGTTGGATGTTCACAGGATGATTTTTGGGCATTGACCCCCAGAAAAAGTTCCAGTTTACCATGAAGCCAATGGGATCCACTCACTCCGTGCGGCCCTTTTCGCCGGACAAAAAGTCCTCCATCTTCACGTAGTGGTGACACTTCTGGTCGTATCGGTCCTTCCATTCTTCCCCATTCTGCATCAAGTCCGTGCAGGAAGCTCCCTCCCCACCGCCATCACCCAGCAAGTGGCTCACACAAAGGCCGTTCCTACAGCCAGCCACTCAGCGAAAATCAGATGGAAAGTGTCATTTGAATGAGTAATGTTAACCTCTGATTGATAAACCCTGGTTGATGAACTACGTAAGCTCTCCGGAAATAGATCCAAGTAGCAACAATAATGTGCTACTTCAATTTAGTTGGTGGTTTCAATCCCTCTGAAAAATATTAGTCAGATTGGATCATCATCCCAGCTATTGGGGAAAATAAAAAATGTTCCAAACCACCAACCAGTCAATTTATTTCAATATCAGAGAACCTTGGAAGGCCAGGGACCCAGTTTCTGGATGCAACGGTGAATCCCATGGACCCTTTTGTACAGGCGAAGTTTCTGGATGCCCGAAGAAACTCGATTGGAAATGGGTAATCCATCGGAAATCCATCGGAAATCCCATATTTTTGGAAGTTGATGTTTGGGATGTTTTTTTGTTTGCCATACAATGGCTCATTATAGTTCAGTTCATTTGCGAGGATCCCTAGGAGCCAATAGGGCTATGGGATAGAGATGTTCATTCATCATTGGGAAATCTCATGGAAATCTAATGGACATTGAGGGACTGCCCTTAAAAGCATTGCACTTTGTCAAGAACTTCCAGCAACATGGGTATGGATCAATACCTATTAATACCATTTTTAGTGGGATGAACATCCATAAATCCCAGCTATTTTGATGTGAACTACAGGGGTACAAGGTTTTGACACACTGCCACATGGCAAACAAGATATGCCATACCAACCTGCTATGTTTCAGCCATGTCAACCATAAGCCGAGGTTCACATCTCTGTACAAGTCTGCCAACTGATCAGCATCCAGTTGGGTCAGGCCCACCCGATTTCCCATTCGGTACATGTCATAATCATCTGGATCATCGGTGTACAACGCATAGGCCTTATCCTTGGCCGTGATGGTGGGTTTCTTGCTGGTGGAAAAGCTATCGGCATCGTAGTGCATGATGGACAAGAGATCGTAGGGACGTTCCGTGTCACCTGCAGCGTTTTGGGAAAGGAGAGTTAAGCGCACAAAAAGGAGAAAGTCTGAAGTGCTTTTTCCAAGAAATCAAAGAAAAAATATATCCATGTTCCAAGTCTTCGAAGAATTCAAGGCGCAGTTTTTCTAAATCCAACAAAAGTCCTGGGAAGTTCAAGGATGGCAGCAATTTCACCAACCTGACAGACCCGACTATCGCCTTTGCTGGAGATGTCGAAGTTATGTTCCTTGCCACTTTGGATTCGACTCTCATGGATCTCCACATACTTGTCCTTGGATTTGCGAAAGATGTCCAAAAAGCAATGGAGTTTTTTCCTCATACTTCCTCTAGATCTCCTAAATGGTGGAAGTACCACTGGCAAAATCAAGAATCGGTATAACACGTAATTAATCAAGCACACAGTAACCATCAGTCACCCAAAAAAAAAAATCTAGCAAGGTAATTATCATCACCTTTTTTTGTGGGATCTGACCAACTTCATCCAACTTCTTTTTTGGGGTTGCTGTAATCATCACAACCAATCACAACCAGCACAAGTCTCCCGGTCGGGTCGCGCTTGTTCATGTGCCATCCCAAGGGCATGTCCCAACTCGTGCAGCACGGTGCCCACCGAATCGCAGCCAGGAGATTGGAGGTTCAGCCCCTGGGCCTTGCGATGTGTCAGCTCTCCCACGTAGGACCAACAGCCCGTGTTTTCCTGGGCAAAAAAAACGGGTTTGGAAGATGTGATGGTAAAACCGCCATTTTCATGGGGGATACCCCAAGTGAAAAGGCCATAGTTTTTTGCGAGAAAATGATGATTCACATTGATTAAGCATCAAATTTTGGGGAGGTATGCGGTGTTTACCCATCTTTTCGCCCAAAGAAGTAGAAAACTCATAGTGTATACCTGAACACCATCCAGCTTCCGAAGTGATGAAGACAGCTGGAGATTCCTCACACTCATCGTTCGACAGGCGTCCAACCTCGTTGAATTGGATACAAGGCACAGACTTCTTGTACTGCTGAATGGCCAAACGAACTGCATCCTTTACACCTGGCAGTTTTCGGAATGTCTTTTTGCAATACCTCTGGTTCAAACCCAAAAAAAACAGAAAAGGAAGTCTTTCTTCAAACAAAACTCTTCTCCCAAAGAGAACATTTCAAAAAAAAATCGGCGGTCATTTTTAGAGCCAAACATCCCATAGCAATTATATATATATATGTATATATATATACATAAACTCTATATATATAAACTATATATATATATATGTTTTTTTCTGTACTACAAACGTGACATCCAAATCATCCCCTCTTTTCAAATCTCGTGGCCATCTGGGACATTCTCGTGGTAGCAGAACTTCACGATGCCCTTGGCCCAGGGCTTTCCAGCTCCGAAGCTGCCGTGGACCTTCCGTGTGACCTTCTGAGCCGATTCTGCTTGGCTCACGAACTGCTTCAGCTGATTCTCGTCCTCTGGCACCATGTCACCCTGAAAAGCGCCTGAAAAAGGTGCAGCTGATCGGAAGGTCAGGTGCCTAGAATTGATGTTGAGATCTTAAAACTCACAGAAAACATCGAAAACATCTCCTTTCAAAAGTAAACCACAATGTTTTGGGATTCGGCCTCACTTTTTCCTGTGACCGAGGGTAGTCTATAGAATTACGTGGATTACGTATCAGCCTCATCCCAAACGTCGCGACAGCCATCGGGGTTCCCAGGGGTTCCCATAGTGCGGCCCCTGCCTTTCTTGGAATCCTCCAGGTTGAACTGGTGGCCATGCGTCCCCGAGACCCCCAGGATGCGGGCGATGTCATCCGAGGTGATTTCGATGCCAATCTTGGCAGCCACCTGGCAGTGATAAAATATTAAACACTACCTATGGTTAACTATGGTTTATCCAACACTACCTATGGTTAACTATGGTTTATGGTGACTTTTCATGGGATTTCATGGGATTTAATCATAAACATCCCCAGAAACCATGGTTTAGTTGGGCATTTACCCATATTTGGGACAAATTTTGGGGTGTTGAATGTGAGGGGGATGGGATGTTAGCTCCCCAAAATCGAAACTTTGGCCACAACTCCAAAAAACACGACTGGACCTACTTAAAATAACTATATAATCATCATTGCATTTCCTAGAAACTAAAGAAAGGATGCAGAGTTGACCCACTAAAAACGATTCCCCACCAAACATCCCCACCTGTGGTGAAAGCTGACCCTCCATGGCACGTAGCAGGTCCATAATCTTCTCACTGTCCGCCTTCAAGTCCTCGCTCCGGGAATGGCTGAGGAAAATCCACCATCCGATGTCTTGGAATTGCATCGAAAACCATCAGAATTTTGGCCAGAGAACCTGAGACTTGGCAAAATACATAGTAATCATATTGTATATACATATATACATCATATACGTATATTATGTATATAATATGTATATATATATAAGAAAGAATATAATGTGTATATACATATATATTAATACATAATTATATATGTCATATAGTATCAAAAGCTCATGGTTTTCTGAAAAAATGCGACATTTGTTCCAAGTCATCCGCCGTCCTTGCCCCACTCGGCATCTCCCTCCACCTGTTTGGCCTCCTCTCTGAGCTTATGATCTTGGACCAATTGAAGCACCACCTGTGGCACCGCGATTTCTGGGGGGAACCAAAGGGAACCAACGGAACCTGTTGATCTTCCATCTGTTTTTTGGTAAGTCCAAAGTTAAGCTCCCTTATGACCTATGAATCATGAAACACCCATCATTTGTAGATTTGATCAGACACCCGCATATGGGTATATCCATCCACACCTGAGCCAACTCATCGAACTCTTCGTTGGTCTTGCCAATGTGCTTTGGCTTCTCATCGGGGACACCTGGGACTCGCAAGAGGGGCTGTCGAAATCAATAAGATAAGATCAAGCAGCTAGTTAGGTAATTAGATTGTTGGATAGCTAGAGATATGTTCCGCTATTGCTTCTTTGATTGCACTCAGTTTTGACTCGTACCTATATGCAGTTGCTCGCATCTTCATTTATATGACCAGGCTCACCTCCCAAATCCGCTGTCAGTTTTTAAAAAAAAATGGCATCTATGCCGAGACGCAGAGGATCAGTGCGGCTGCAGCCCCAGCCAACAATACTGCACCACAGAGGGTCCAGCGAAGGACACAGCAGCAGCTGCAACATGATTTTGGTTCTTTATTTTCTTCCAGGATCAAACCTCGTCCCTCCTCCGCCATGGATGTTCTGAAACTGAGGATGAGAGGATTTTTTTGTGTCTGAGCCAGTGAAAACCAACGATTTGGCGCACTTCAGACAGCAGGTCTCAAAGGAAAGCGATGCCTTTGGATGCGGTACTGCGGTACCTGTTTCGCTGAATCAAGCTGTCAACCACTCAAAGATGGAATGCTAATGAAGCAAAATGAGTTTTAATCAACAAAGATAGATGGCACCCGAACCCACGGCAATAGGTGGCTTGTCTTCAGCTCTGACCTTGCTTGCTCTCGTGGTGAAACCTTCGCCGGCCGAGCATCCTGCCACATGTCCGAACGGCCCGTTCCGCTTTGAGAACAGCCGCGGTGCCAAGTCATCAGTTCTTCACCTATCAGAAGGCCAGGCTAGCAGAGCTTTGGGATTGAACCCTCAGAAGTGACTTTCCAATAGGGCCACACCCATTTGACAGCCATTCAAACATGGGGAGAAATGAACCATGGAATCCAATGGCGTACCCAATTTTGAGACCCATTTGCTGTGACCAAAGACCAAAGGATGTGCCATGCATCCGCCGTTGCCCTTTGCCTCAAGTTCAAGGGGGGTCCTATGGATTCGACTTAGGCCCACCTTTCCAAACAAAGTAGCAAAGTCAAGCTTTGAAGTAGCAAAGTCGGAGGTCTATTTTCCACTTCCGTAAAATATTTCTTGGTCCCAATCCTGTAAGGTTTCCACAGCACGCATCATGGGAGCCTAGGAAGAAGAGGATGCTGCTGGTGCACCTGCCTCCAACAGATGCTGTCACTACCACTGCATCCATCTCTTTGTCCATTTGGACATTCCTTTAGAAAATAAAAGAGACTGAAAATTGCTGGATGTCTTTGAAACATTTTGAAACTTCACAACATGTCAAAAAATCAAACTGGATGCTGATAAGTGTTGCCATGTCCACATTCAGTCCCTCAGAGCCCCCTTTTTTGGAGCCCCAAACTGCCAGCATCCGGCCTCCTCGGGCTGCTTGAAGGCCATGAAATACTCCTTGGCAAAGCCAAAGACCTGCGAAACGAATAGGCTATCGTTGAAGCTGTTGAGGGGCCATGAGATCTTGGGATATTAAAATTGGGATTTAATAGGGACATAAAATCTACTATAGTTGGATTTCTGGGGTTTTTGCATATTGGCATTATATACATATTATATATATATACACGTATATGCCGTGGGGAAATTATCAACAAATGCTAAAGTTGACCCATGGGATACCAGTAGTTTTGCAAAGCAAAATAGGGGAGTTGACCATAAATAAGAGATACAGCAATAAATTACTTGTGGAGTAGCCATCAAATGCATTCAAATGCCATATCATATCAAAAATTATGGGATTCAAGCATTAAGTTCGATTAATGATATACCAACATCCCCGGGAATCAAGCAACCCTGGTTGTAGCCATCCATAACCTAAAAAACTGCCCCAAGTAGATGTGACGTTTCAGGCGCAGAAAAACCGAGATTTGGGCTGGCAGGGAGCGTCTATGGAGATTCCAATAATGGCTACGGCTAACACTCAAACTTGGAGGAAGGTATGCACCAGGGATCACCCATTACCATTTCTACGATCTGAAACCATCCAATTTTCGGGGTGGTCAATGATTTTGAAGCATGCCCAAATGCTTTGTTTGGCTAATGTCAACTCCGGGTTAATGAAACCTGGTTTATTACTTAGGAGTGTGCAAAAAATAAACATGTGCTACTAAAAACCTAAAATCCATCAAATGGGTATGGATCATTTTTGTTCTACGCCCACAAAAGTTGGTGTGTTTTTCGTATATCGAGTTTTTGGAGAAGCCAATTTTGACCCATACCCAAATACAGGCTTTGGCTGAAGCAACAAAAAACCATGGCATGTACTATATGAGCAACAAGTGTAGGTTGATTATGGTTGATTTTCCATTGTGTCCACAAAAAACATGCCCTAAATCCATGAATAAGTGTGGGCCCACAGTGTGTCGTTTTGGCTTGGTGGTTTTGAATCCTTCGGATGGGAAATACCGATCATCCCTTTCTTCACAAATTCCTTTGAACAACATTGAAAAACCATCGCTGGGACATGGCTTCAATTTTTTTTCCTGGCTGGCATGTTCTGGCATCAGCAGAGAAACAGATCACAACTGGTACTCCAATTTTGGAAACATCCCTTAAAATCTGCCATCAAACCTCATCGGGTCGGTGCAGAAGCACTGAGGACATGAAATCGTTCAGCAACTGGCCGAGGCGAATGGCCGAATGGCCGGGGTGTTTGTTTGCTGTTTCACGATGTTTCAATGGATTGGTTTAAGGGAAAATTCACAGGAAACCATGGCTTTTACCCTCAAATATAGGGCTTTCCTGTAATTTTTCCCATAATCCAATTCTATGAATGTTTCAATCTCGAAGTATCGAAATAGATTATGAAATCAATTTAGATTCATCCCAACTACAGATCAGATTTTTTAGGCTTCAAATATGTTCAAATGGCAAATGGAAAATGATTAAAACACCATCGACAACTCTGACTGTACTGGAAAATCATTTCCCAAAATTCGCAAAATGTTGGCCTGTCGGAGTTCTGGATGTTTTTCCAAATACTTGTTGTGTTCCTGGCCGTGTAGCGCGGTCTCACAAAAAGCCCAAATGGGGTAACCCCGCGAATTTCGTTCATGGTTCGTTATTTCCAAAAAATATGATATATAATATATATATATAATATTATATATATTATAATATATATAATATATATATATAATATAATATATAATATATATATATGTATATAATATATATATATATGTATATAATATATAATATATAATATATATATGTATATATATAATATATATATATATAATATATATAATATATATATATATATATATTATATATACAATATATATATATATTTAATATATATATATATATATTCATATTATTAATCATGAATCATTTCAAGCCATTGAAAATTCTAAAAAATCTGAATTTGAGAGCCAGTTGCAAAAACCAATCAAAATCGTGCCCGAATTCCAGACAAGGAATCCACTCGTGACATGGTCGACATGTTAGTGGCACAACCAGCAGCTGTGGTGTCACCCTGCACAGCCTCTCTCAAGTCCTCCTCCCTGAGTTCCAGTTTCTCCTATGCAGCCGGCGCCCATTTGGAATTGTCCAAAAGGGGCCAACCAATCCATCTCCATTTCATGGCACGTATCATGAGTTAACCCGTGAATTTGGAATACACATAATTTTGTGACAACCCACTTTTTCGGAGAAAAGGGAACTCTGCTGGGGGTTGTTGGTCCACACAGTATTGAAAACACAGTTTGGATCAACCAAGCGCCACTTCTTGAAAAAACGTCCCGTGGACGAACCTGCTCTTCAGGATCTTTCATCATGTTTCTCAACCTGCCATCCACGGACCAATCATTTTTCCAATGAAATGTTGGAAAAAACTCGACTCCTCAAATTTTCCGAACAACGAAATCTGCAACGAGCATTCAAACATCTCGGCCCAAAACCTCCACCGTTGGATGGGGTCAAATGAAAAGGCCGTTTGAACTGCTTGGCTGCGGAGAAAGTGAGTTGACCACAGCATCAACTTTGAACCGAATGTCCCCAGTGATTGTTCACTTCATCAACGAAATATCTCAGCTGGTTGCAGTGTGTAATACATATTATATGGCATATATTGCACAGTATTACCCCCTTTTTTAGTGGTCAATATCAATATGGCAGTGTGTCAAAACCAATAGTACCCCTGTAGTTCACATCAAAATAGCTGGGACTTATGGATGTTCATTCCCCTAAAAATGGTATTAATAGGTATTGATCCATACCCATATTCCTCAACCTGGACCTTTGCTGGTCAATTTTAGATCCCATTTCTCCACCCGGATCAGCCAATTTCAGCGATTTCGACTGAGATCTTCACCCACGGTACGGGCCAGTCGAGCGGCTTGAGCAATGGCAGCTTTCCCAGGAAAATGTTGGTTTGGGAACTCAGAATTTCTGGGGTTTCTTTGGCTCCAGAAATAAATCGAACCAAAAAAAAACCTGCGATTTCCAAGCGGTCGCTGCTGATCAACGGTTGTCTCATAACCACCCAACCAGCTGGCCTTGTAAGGTGAAAATCCAGCAGTAAATCAGGTCGTCAATGTCAAATCGTTGCTCCAGCGGAAAGAAACGCCGCCATCACATCTTGAGAAATTGCATCTTCATCGAATCAACCAGACTACAAGAAGTACCACCATCTGATGGAAACCGGTTTTTACTCGTGGCACTCTTGGCACAAAGTCAACAATCAGTTTGCAAGCTGAAGTGAATTGGAGAGCAGATATGAGCAGCGTTTCCATCTGAAGCAACCTGACACTGAATTAAAATCAATAAACATGGCATTGTCGAGGATCTTCCCCTGGCACCGGCAAACAAGGAAGGACCCTGTAAGAAAGAACATACCCCCAAGGCGAACTCAATGGAATTTGTATGGATTTGTGGACTTTTCTTGAGCTCTACATTTGGAATCATTTTTTTTTGTAGGTTTGGTTCAACCCCCTAACAATCCACAAAATGCCCTGTGATCATCGGAGGCAATTTCATGGCGATTGTCTTCCACAGAACCTGAGATGCAGAAGACAACCCAGAGAATGATCTGGCTACCAGGCACTACAATGCCTCTAAACCAGCCACTGTCGAATGATCTGAGTAAGGCTCTTCACATGGCTTGGGTCTAGAGTCGAAATCCATAATGGTCAGGAAATGAGGCTCCGAAGGCCCCGGGTTGCTTGATTTCCAAAACAATTGTTTTATAACAATCATCAAAATCATATAAATATTCATCATATTCTGGATGGTTATGATTTATGATGGTTTTATATGGCTATATATCCCAAGATGGTTATAGCATGGTATATCATAAATAGCATATTAATTATCACCACCTTGGGATATACCATGCTATAACCATCCAGAACCCCAGTAACCCCGGAAGGCTCCGTGACTTGGGTCCCCACCTGCGGTCCCACCACCATGTCCCACCGCAAGGCCGAAGGGTGCGTCCACGAAAACCAGTTGCGTTTCTAAGGGTGAATATATGACATATTATGATGATTATATGAGATTAATATGATTATGAATAGAAACTCTGGTAATGACTAACATAGCTATTGAAAAGATCCACCATTCTTAATGGGAAAACTCACTATAAATGGACATTTTTTTCCATAGTTATGTTAAATTACCAGAGGGTAAACTCAGGGTCAGGACATATTCCACCCTCACAACCATAACTCATCATAATGATTATCAGATTGTCATAACTCATAACCATGTCATGTCCAAGATCTTGTGGGTCGCATAGGTATGTATCGGTCGCATTCGCAATTTTCGAGGTACTATACTTCAACCAAAAAATCGAAAACGTGGAAGGAATTGCTGCCAGGGTGCCCGTACGCGCTGTGCAGAGGTGGCACCCTGAAAAGCAAGCGATGAAACAATCGATGGTAGCATCTATCCCATATCCACAAACAAGTCATGAAAGGCGACCATTTAGAGAGCTGCAACAATCAGCGAGGTGTTCTTCCAGTGTGCAGGTATGAATATAAACTTGAAGTCTCTTGGCACAGAACTCAAAGATTTCCCACAAATGTTGTCGTGGCAACTCATCAACACACGACATGCATCGTGAGCCGGGCCTCTTGCTGCGCTACCACCGCAGACTGCTCGGGTTCGTGACTGCCAGCATCAGAGCTTGAGAACAAGCCCTTGGCAACAGATTGCAGGAGAAAAAGTCTTCTGACTTCCGCGGTGTTTGCAAATCTCAAGAGGTCGAAGAACAAGAAATGGGACTATCACAGCACCTATAAGAGGTCCATCACGACAGGAATAGAAAAAGTCACAGGAGGCGTCTCATGCTACAACCAAACCGAGCCAAGCACATAAAAATACGCTTCGACGCGCTCTGCATTTTGTTAATGGAGTACCCTTGTCTATTGCCCAAGGAGTTTGTTGCTTGGGTTCGTTATCGCGTTTCTTCCTTGGACATTTTGGGGAAGATGCATGGCCACTGTCTGGGATTCTCTCTGCACTTTTTGTGTGCCATTGCCTGGTTGTTCGTGTACCAGGACCCAAAAAGAGTTCATTCAATGTTGCAATCCACAAACCTGCTGTGAACGCCTGATTCAAGTGCAGATTACCCCCTCAAAAACAACAATGTCGATCAAAATTGCATCACGTCATGCCCATAGGCCCATCACTGTGTTCATTATTTTGTGGGTCGCATTGCACTGTTGCGGGTATTTCGCCAAAAAGACATCAATCTCTGGAATCCTGGAAGGAACGGCTGCCACGGTGCCCGTGCGTGCTGCGAAGAGGTAGCATCCTGAAAAACAAGAGATGAAACAATCGATGGTAGCGTCTTTCCAGCGACAACCATGAAAGGCGTCGTTCCAAAAACTGCGCAAAACATTAAAAATATCCATCTGAAAATGAAGAAAATCATGTATGTATGTCTTTTTTCATGTCCAGTAGGAATGATCAATCTGAAGCCCGAAAGTCAGAAGTCACGACCTCCCACGAACGTCCCCGCCCCAAGTTATCAAAACATTACATCCTGAACCGGCCTCTTGCGCTGCCACTGCAGACTGTTTGGGTGCTGGAGTGTCCTTGGCCAGTGCTCCAACACTATATCTGAAGTTCCCAAGCACATCAACTGCAACGATTGAAACCAGCAAATCAGAAACAGCCTGGAATGGTTTGTTTTGGATTGTCCTTTTGGAAGATGTGGTGGTTACGCGAGATTGCATGACGTTGCACAGGATGTTCAGTGCACTTCTGCGCGCTCAAAAAGCTTACGGTAAGGGTCTTGATGAGTGTCTTGGTCTGAAATTTAATTTTTGGAGCGCATAACTTTGGAGTCCCCAAACTTCCTCATACGGTAGTACGGAGTGTGTTCCATTTGACCTTGCTTCAACTTGAAAGTTGTTTATGTTGTTGCTGTTTCTTGCGCGTGATTTGATCCTTTCCTGCTTCGTTGGGAACATCATCTATGTACACATCATGGGTATCATGGTTCTTTGCATACGTCATGGTTTGGTCCGTCTCTCCTTTTTTCCTTCACTATGCTCCCATTCAAAACTCACACTTCCAAAAAGATCAAAAAGTCACAGTCACCGAGCATCTGGCAACTGCTTCGACTTCGAAGACTTCGAAGGCGGCGCCTTTTTCTGACGATTTTCTTCTTTCCCTTCGGCTCCGGATGCTCAGTGGATGCTCAGTGGTCTCGGAACCATCCACGTGCACCAAGTCGTGGGCCAACCCCGCGGTCTCCTTGGTGCCCGAGACGTGTCGCGCCGAGCGTTTCGAGGTCCAATTGGCTGGCTTCGCTTTGAACTTTGAAGATCTTTGAAGATCTTTGAAGATCTTTGAAGAGGGTCTTACATGATCATACATGATCATAATGATGCTTCCTTGCGTCCCTGGCGGTGGTGTAAATTCACAAAGTATGTTGTTCCAACTTCCAACAACGATTCATGAACAAGCCATTGAATAAAGACTCCGACAGGGTACAACCAAATCGATCGGATTGTACCGAAATACAACAAACATCAACAAACACTACAAAACATGGTTTGTGCTGTTGTTTTTGCATGTGGGTGCCACTTCCCCTTTTTGGGTGGACAATGGTGGACATCCCTTTGGTGGACCTGGAAGGGTCTGGCGCTCTCGCCGAGCCGCCAACTCCGTCGTTGAGGCCTGGCCACAAAACGCACGAAACGCTGCTTTCCATCTGCAAGAAATTGCGGCATTGATTCAAAATATTCAAATTTAAATCTTTAATAAACTTTAATGAACAAAGTTGAAAGTTGAATATATCAAATATCAAATATTATAATTACTATACTCACAAATACTCATTACATTGCATAATACTACAGATATAGAAGACATTCATCCAGTGACAAAGAATTGGCCAATGATTTCATCTTAGCGATAGAAGAACACCGTCGAAGCTGTGCGCCGAACTTGCCTTCAGTGAGCTTCTGTACTGCTGCCTTCGGTTGACGATGAGAACGTGTAAGAAACAGCAAAATGGAAAGCAGCTGCATTTGGTGCCTCTCAGGACATTGAATTCCAATCGAATAATCAAAAAAAACAAAATGATTGAAATAAGATGAAGTAAGCAAATAACCAAAAGTGCAGAAAATGCATGAAGCAAGTTTGGGACAAGGTGCACATCGTACGGTGGCAACACGTGTGCTTGGCGGGTAAAGCTGGCCTGTTGACATGGGCACTTGGTGCGCACTTCAGCCATGGTATCCACAACAATTGGCTTCGCTCTGACAGAGAAACGATACCAAAACTGAACTGAGCTGCACAAACTAAGCATAACCACAGTTTTGGATAGTGTTAGTCACTCTGCAAAATCTCAAACATTCCCACGTGATTCCGACGTGAAATTTGTGCCAATTCGGGATCTCCAGCTCCTGCAATCTCAGCAAAAGCGCATCTAACTGTTCATGCACCTGGAAATTAAACAAGATACCAACGGTACGAAACAAAAGCGAGATGAAGCAACACGACTTTAGACGTTAGATCACAAAGGAAGCGACATGACACGCGACTTTAGAACACAGAAACACAGTTCAGAGAAGGATAAAACACGATAAAACGATTCGGACATATTCGGATGCAGATTTCAAGAATTTTGATCTTCAAATCTTCCACGGCTTTGGCAGCATCCATCAGCATCCCAAATGTCCAAGGCTTCACGCCTCGCTGTTCACTGCTCCTCAGCCTGCACGACATGGGCCCGACAAAACTACAATTTGTAGCACCTGAAAAACTGTACCCAAAGCCAGTAAGAGAACATAAAGAACGATGTTTACATTGTGACATATTGCGACATATTGCGACATATTGCGACATATTGCTACGATGTGGTAGGAACATGACACTCATTCAAGGGTCATACGGTTCATATGCCTAATGCAAGTAGACACAGATAAAGAAGGATCATATTGAATGAACGCGGACAGAAAAGCCGCTGGTCACGGCATCAAAACTTGATCTTGATCTTCTCATCTCAAAAGAACTCTGCTTGGCGAAACAATGCACAGAATGTTCTGCGGAACAATCAGAACACAAGTAAAGGAGCAAATCTTAAATGCATGCAGTGCTGCCAGCAACTGCCCGCACGAAACACGCCAAATCTGTCCCACGTTGCTGAACGAAACGCGCGGTTTTGGTCACATGTGATCGTTCCAGCTTGCTAAATCTGACAGGTGGCCTATTTTAGTTGTGAAATCGCGCTTTGATCTGCATCTTTGGAATCCATTCAGAAACATCTCGCCATCCGGAATTGCATCGGTAGCAAACGAAAGCACATCTTGAGTGACTTAATTGTTTTCAAGAGCCAGCTTCCCCGCTTATTTCATCTTTCGAGATCTCTAGAAATGTGTAACTGTACTAGTCTCCCTCAACTTACATTACAGTGCATTACAGTGTGCGAAGTGCAGTTGCTTCATTGTACGATAAGAGAACTTGACAGCAGTCAAGAAAAGACAGTCCTCAAGTTATTCTCCCAAACTAGCAGCTAACTAGCAAACATCAGTCATAAGACTTTTGAAAAAATCCTGTTCTCATCTTTTCATTTTTCGACCACTAGAAGCACTGGCATCACAAGATATCACAAGCATTCCACGACAATTTCAACAGGCCAAATTGATTCCTCTGGATGGAACTGCATCGCTACCGAAAACGGCCATCATCCGCGCTTCCCCGCGCGTTAAGGCTTCCAAGTCCATACTAGACACCAAATTAGGATATTGAGATGAAAATGATGAAAATATATGAAAATTGAATGCAAATGACATCTAAATGAAGCATATTGAAGCATGACACAAAGAAGAAACAACATGAGGTCTCAGCCTCAGTGACTTCTCAGTGACTTATTTGTGTGGTGCTTTTGGAATGGAAGACATCTCCAAGACACTCCTGCCGACTCAACGAAGTGAAGTCGAAGTTTTTCGCCTCCTAATTCCTCCCAGCCTTGAAGGTCTTGAAGAAACTTTCCAGAAATTCCTCTTTACTTTCCTGCACAAGATCTGCACCATCAACATCCATCCACTATAATGGACTTCATGATTGAATGAATTCAATGATTTGAATCAGAATCTGCTGTGGCTGTGGTTGCGAGACAACTGAGATACAAATGCAGATGCAGCTGCTTTTCCATGAGGCCCTGAAGCTATGCCAACGGCCACCGCAATCAGTCACGATCAGTTTCACCCGTTTCACCCCCATATGGTGTCGCCGGAGAAGTGATCCAAGGGGTAGGTCTTTCGAACCGACTCACTCATCAGATCGCTGCAGAGCACCGTGGCCGTTCCTGCAGAGCATGGGAACTGCGCAAATCAGCCCTCACCCATCGCCCATCGCCCCATCCCATCCCCGGTAAGGGCTCCTCCTTTGACTGTGAAGCGGTCTTGCATTGCCTTGATGTTGAGTTTCTTTTCTTCAGGGCTTTGAACTTGTGAAACAAGTTTGGATCCACATTCTCCAACATCCAAATCCCAATGAAACTTCATGCAGCCAATCGAATCTTCTTGACCTCGCTGGCCCCTGGCCCTGGCCCCTGGCCCTGGCCCTGGCCCTGGCATCTGACTAAAGGACCTTCAGTTGCCGAGTTACTCAGTTAAGCCAACTACCGTTTCTCAAATGATTTCACCTAGCCAATGGGCAACAACCTGGAACTGTCTCTCTACGCATCTCTACGCATTCTGATTCGTATCTTCAATTCATCAAACTGTTGCCACTCACATCCGAATGCCCAACCTCAAAATTCTTTGCATTCCGCCAGGATACCAGTGATGGATGACTTGCAGGGTTTGCCTCTCTTCTGATCTAGAACTGATGGTGGCCTAGCAACCCAGTGTTGCTCCTTCTCCCCCAGAGAAGGAGGGCATACACTTTTTTTGAGCCAGTTGTAGATGAGATATTGCGCCTTCTTCTTGGCATTTTTCACCAACTCTCGATTTGGGACGTCATCTGCAGGCTTCCCACATTCCCATCCTTTCTTTGCAACGGTTCCATCTAAGTCAACTGGCTCTCCAAGTTCTCCTGCATGAGACTGGTGAGATCTGTTCTCCAAAGCATCGAATAACTCTGAAGCAGTCTCTGTCTCGAAGGAACGACTGGCTTCAACTTCCAGAAAAAGAACGGCGATGGCAATGGCCCTGATGGCGCTGATGGCGCTGGCGCTAGGCATTTTGGCTTGGGAAAGCGACGCGAAGTTGGAGTATTGCAAGTATCAAAGCTGCGGCGAAATTAAAACGGATGGAATCTCTCTGGACGTGTCAAGTGACAAACCCATGAAACCCGTGAAGCAAGAGCAAAACATAAAGTAAAACATCAAGTAAAACATAAAGCAACACATGAAGCAAAACACAAATCAAAGCATAAAGTAAAACATCAAGCATTGCGAATTGTGACATGACTGACATGACCGGTGAAGTGATTGAGATACAAAAAACTTCATGCCAGGTGCTCAACGACGGTGCAGTTCGCCTTGCCATCGACGGGCTGCGTCTCCTGAAGCGGGAGCGTTTACAAATCGACAAACCTTAAAGGGCTAAACGGCTAAGGACCCACAACGTTTTATCGATCTTTGATTTTTTCGACAGTTTTCGGCAGTCCAATATCTTCGCATCACCTTCCAATGAGTTTTTCTTAAGAAAAACATTTCTCTTTTCAAACAACGACATTATCACCTGTTCATCACCTGTCATCATCTGTCAAGAGCTTGGAACCTAGCCTCACTCATTGCCCGGCTGGTTCAGCGCACATGGCTGGACCGAAAACACGTTTGGAACCGAGGCCTGATAGAAACTTTGCAAAACCTGTCAATGTCATTTTAATATCATGATATATCATGATATATCACGATATATCATGTTAATATATCCCTGTGTGCATTCTGCAGAGAAGTTGTGCCCACTAAACCGTTTACAAACACAGCCTTATACTACAAAATGAAGCTTGAATCTGAACCAACCCCCCTTGCTACAAAATGGTTTGGGTGTTTTTATGATGGATCAAAAGCCAATGTCGGTCACTACAAAATGACTTTACGGAACCATTTTGTAGTGAAAACGGGTTGCAATGAAAATAATGATTCGCTACTAAATGGGTCATAGCATTTACTAGGGAAAATGCTATGGGGCAGCAGAAACGATCTGAGCGCACAACTTCAGTTTCAATTGATCGGTTTTGAAACCAAATCTGTCCCATTTTTCCTTCTTAAAGTCTCTACATAAAAAGCATGTTTTTCGAACTTTTTGGGGCTTATCTGGAGGGGGGCGCAGTAGGTTCTACAAAAGGTTGTGCACGCGTGTGTCACTACAAAATGCAGTGCATGACACAAGTCATCCAGAAACTAGGACATCACGCATCGAATCTGTGCTTTGTGACATTGTGGGTGAAAGGAACTCTGAGCATGGATTCGTTGAACTGGGGTGAAACTTGACTATTGGACAAAAAGAGCAGGAACCTAGTAGAATGGGATAGATTTAGATTTTAATTAATAATCGCATGTGATGGCCAAAAAAGGTGTGACAAAAGCACGGCGCAGAGGTTTTGAACTGCAATCGTCAGAGCTATGGGGCAGCAAAAACGATCTAAGCGCACAATTTCAAATTCAATTGATCGGTTTTGAACCAAATCTGTCTCATTTTTCCTCCTTAAAGTCTCTACATAAAAAGCATGTTTTTCGATCTTTTTGGGCTTATCTGGAGGGGGGCGCAGTAGGTTCTACAAAAGGTTGTGCACGCGTGTGTCACTACAAAATGCAGTGCATGACAAAGTCATCAGAAACTAGGACATCACGTATCGAATCTGTGCTTTGTGACATTGTGGGTGAAAGGAACTCTGAGCATGGATTCGTTGAACTTGGGTGAAATTGACTATTGGACAAAAAGAGCAGGAACCTAGTAGAATGGGATAGATTTAGATTTTAATTAATAATCGCATGTGATGGCCAAAAAAGGTGTGACAAAAGCACGGCGCAGAGGTTTTGAACTGCAATCGTCAGAGCTATGGGGCAGCAAACGATCTATTCAATTCAATTGATCGGTTTTGACCAAATCTGTCATTTTTCCTCTTAAAGTCTCTCATAAAAAGCATGCTTTTCGAACTTTTTGGGGCTTATCTGGAGGGGGGCACAGTAGGTTCTACAAAAGGTTGTGCACGCGTGTGTCACTACAAAATGCAGTGCATGACACAAGTCATCCAGAAACTAGGACATCACGCATCGAATCTGTGCTTTGTGACATTGTGGGTGAAAGGAACTCTGAGCATGGATTCGTTGAAAAATTGACTATTGGACAAAAAGAGCAGGAACCTAGTAGAATGGGATAGATTTAGATTTTAATTAATAATCGCATGTGATGGCCAAAAAAGGTGTGACAAAAGCACGGCGCAGAGGTTTTGAACTGCAATCTCAGAGCTAAAAACGATCTGAGCGCACAACTTCAAATTCAATTGATGGGTTTTGAAACCAAGTCTGTCCCATTTTTCCGTCTTAAAGTCTCTACCTTATTTGTTTTTTTTTCGATTTTTTGGGGGCTCATCTTACCACGAAATAATCGTGAGTCAAGAGCCAAAAATGGTCTGAGGGTCCAAGCTATATGTTCATGTGACCGAGCATGACTGGTAAAAGAGGGCTATAGGGTTTCCGGCACGACACAACGCATCCCAAAATAAATCACTACAAAATGCGTTTCCGATTTATGAGTGTAAAATGGAACGCCGCTACAAGATACAGTGCACACCCTTTTACTACAAAAACTGGTGCACGGGTCCATTTTTTTTGCTTGAATTATCCACGAATCAGAGGATGGTACCAAGCACGTGTTCACCCTTTTAGTAGTGGAAATGGTAAGGGGGATGTTAATATAATGTTAATATCATGTTAATATCATGTTTATATCATGTTGGTATCATGTCAATGTGGTTTTAATATCATGTTAATATCATGTACTGCAAAATGGTAAGTTAACAACGCATGACAAAACTTACAGCACTTCACAACTCTGATTTTCTGCTACTAACAGGTATTTTCCGATGCATTAAAATGCATTCAACACATTCTGAACTGCGACAAATAGGGCAATGTCAGCCAGTTTAGTTTTCGTGCGCGATGCAAGTTGCCTTCGACTGAAGTGATCTGGTACCAACTTATGGGTCCTCTAGAAGCCAACCCTGCAGCAAAATGGATCCTGAAACATCCAAACCAAGGCATCATTTGAAAACACTGTGCGTTTCACGTTGAACATATCACAGGCGGTTCGGACCTGTACCTAGGACCCTCGATCAGCTTCACATAGACTTGGTGTATCTCAGAACATTACGTTTCGACATATGTAGACTTAGTGCATGTCAATTTCATGATCATTCTATCTATTTTTATGAAAGGAAGTTGTGGTACAACCCATGTACCCCCAAAGTGCAAATACATGTAGCAAAAGCGCACATGCAAAACTGCAAATACATTGGTGCCCCAAGTTGGGCCCCAAGAAGGGGGTGCATATGGATGTGTATATGAAATGGGTTACCATCAAAGAGATGGCATTCAGTGAAATCAAACCATGCCACTACTAACTAGATTCTTGACTCACTAGACGACATTGTCAAAAACATTGAAAAACAATGATTACGTACGACTACGATCAATTTAGAAAAGAAACTGTGAGAATCCATGGGAAACAATGAATTGGAAAATTTTATTTCTAGTCGCCGTTCACTGTGAAATTGACATGTAATCAAAGGCTTGCAAGCGCTCTCCCATTTTTGCATGGGGACCTCACAACACATTCAGCCTTTCTGGCTGTGGGTATGGCACAGGAGGAGTGTAGGGGCAGGAGGTGGGTTCCAAAAACCAAATCGTAAAAGTTGGGCCCTCCCGCCCTCCACACTTGAGAACAACAGCAACGTTCACTTGAAATTGCTGACGCATTTCACTCATGAAATAAAACTATGTCACACGTGACAGACGCTTATTTCTAGTCGCCGTTCACTGTGCAACTGACATGTAATCAAAGGCTTGCAAGCGCTCTCTCATTTTTGCATGGGGACCTCACAACGCATTCAGCCTTTCTCCCCACTTTCAGAGTCATGAATGCCAAGAGGTCCTTCAATTTTTCCGCAGCCAGCTTTGAATGATCTTTGTATCCATTTTCCAAAAGCTCTGTCACTTCAGCTCTCGAAGGTTTGTCTGCTATGTTCGAATGCGATGGCACTCTTGCCAACCAACATGAAGTTTCAATCTGCATTTCCAGTTCAGCAAAAATTGCACACAAAATATCGACCACTGCATTGTCTGACGACCCTTTTATGAGGCAAAACTTTGTGCCCTCATTATCTAAGTAAAGGAGACAGTTCCTCTTCTCAAAGAATTTCTCCCAGATCCAGTAAGCCAGAACTCCTGCTAGTGTCTCCGCTTCAAATATTATTTGTTGCTTCGTCAGTTCACCAAGAGCAGCTCTCTGTGTTGCATCCAAAGAAATTGAAAAGAAAAATTTCTCCCCAGAAGAACCATCAACCAGCACTCCGCCTAAACCACAAACCAGCTTCTTCGATTCCTTCTCATAGCACGCGTCGGTGTAAATCACCACAGCTGGTCTAGAGTCCCAAAACACAGTGCGTGGCTTCCGTGTGGAAAGTAGGGCAGAAAACAATTGCAGAGCAAGTAAATCGCAATCCCTCAGTTTTGTGGCTCTTCGGCAAGCTGCATCACGGAGCGCTTTGCTGCACCGCTTTCCAGTTCGTCCGTACAACTGGGAGTCTGCGAACTGCATCCTCCCTCTAAGACGTTGTGCATCCGACTGCAAAATTTCACCCGCAGCCACCGTCTTCTCAAGTTCAGTTACCAGCTCTGCAACCCTTGACTGAGTGTTGGAAACAAAGCACAACCCTTTGCCGGACTGGGACAGGTCAAAGTTGACTCCCAACGCTTCACAGCTTGCACTGAAGGGCACACATTTTCTGCCCTCCTTTGCATAGTCCCAACCCAGTAGGGAGAAGAGAGAAGAAGCGGTCAACTCTGTACTCTTAGCCAAGGTCGGAGTACTCAGGACAATGTAGTGGTCGAAAAATGACGACCATACAAGCAAACAAGCTGTAGTGCCCAACTTCCAAATGGCTCGCGCCAATCTCAGAAAAGAGTGAACACTACGGACTGCTCCGAAGGGAAGTACCTGGGCTTGAAAGTAAGCCCAAGAGCTAGTGTTAGGATTCCATACCCTTATGTAGGCCACA